ATATTTAAAATTGTCAAGAAAAACAAGTAGATTGGGGCTTCCCTGATGGCGCAGTGGTTGAGAGTCCGCCTGCTGATGCAGGGGACGGGGGTTCATGACCCGGTCTGGGAAGATCCCACATGCCGCGGAGCGGCTGGGTCCGTGAGCCATGGCCGCTGAGCCTGCGCGTCCGGAGCCTGTGCTCCGCTAACAGGGAGAGGCCACAACAGTGAGAGGCCCGCGTACCGCAAAAAAAAAAAAAGAAAAAGAAAAAGTAGCTTGGTTTTCTAATGCAGATTTCAGTATTAAATATTAGATGATGAGTAAGAGTAAAAAGGTTAAATGATCTAGAAAATACATACATGTAAAACAAAATATCAATAGTTCAAGTTATATCTTAAGTAGGATATATACAGACTACCTTGATTTAAATCATTGGTATCTCATAAAACTTAATGCACATTACATTTAGAAGTGATCTTATATTCACTATCTCTTAGTATTATAATCTTTCATATTATTAAAGATATCTTCCAGAAAATGGAATAAAATTTGTGAATCCCTTATTAATACTGCTGCTTATTTTCATCCCAAATCCTAATGCTCAATCTGTTATATTGAGGATTGTTCTTACCCTCCAACTGTGGAGTTTGCAGTAGAAAATGATGAACTATAATTTTACTTGACACTGTTTATATGCCAGGCCCTTTGTTAGGTTCATGGGAATATAAGGCTAAATAAAGTATGATCCCCTTGCCCCAAAAGGAGACCTCAGTGTACCAGGGAAGACAGGCATGGGTATAAGTAGTATGACAGGAACAATTAGTATGTTATAAATTAGTAGAAATTAAAGGGAATCTTAGAAGATTTAGAATAATGCTGAATATTTTTTTTTTCGGCTGAATATTTTTATATCCCCACATACCAAACTTAATACTTTTTCTTCTAGATCTGTTTTTAAGCCTTTCATATTTGTACCAAATATTTCACAACTATTGGACACCAGTTCACCCACATTTGAAGATTCAGTTAAAAAGAAGCCACAGTTTAACATTAAGCCTGACCGAAGACACCTACTCTACCAAAAACATCAACAGGCCTTGGAAATACTAGATAATAAGGAGGTATGATTAGATTATATTCTCTGTTTTATCATTAAGAATAACTTAAAATATGATTCAATCCATATTTTGAACTTTGAAATTTCAGCCTTCTTTCCTTTATATAAAAATAGGTTTAAAAATAGTTTAGATGCTTAGACTATAATAGAGCTATATTATTTTTGAACTTTGGTTAAAAAAAATGGTTAAGAATGTATTGTGAATTTAGAGAAATTTAGTATATTAAACATAATAACAATAGCTAACATTTCTTGAACACTTATTATACACCAAGCACCATGGTACTGTTACATGGGATATTTCATTTAATCTTCACAACCACTTTATCAGGTAGGTACTATTTTTTTAAAAAATAAATTTATTTATTTTATTTATTTATTTTTGGCTGCGCTGGTTCTTCATTGCTGCGCGCGGGCTTTCTCTAGTTGCGGTGCGCGGGCTTCTCATTGCAGTGGCGTCTCTTGTTGTGGAGCACGGGCTCTAGGCATGCGGGTTTCAGTAGTCGTGGCACGTGGGCTCAGTAGTTGCAGCTCACGGGCTCTAGAGGGCAGGCTCAGTAGTTGTGGCGCGCGGGCTTAGTTGCTCCGTGGCATGTGGGATCTTCCTGGACCAGGGCTAGAACTTGTGTCCCCTGCATTGGCAGGCGGATTCTTAACCACTGTGCCACCAGGGAAGTCCCAGGTAGGTACTATTATCGTTTCCATTTTACTGATAAGAAATCTGAGACTTGGAGAGTTTAAGTAGCTTTCTTAGTGTATCTCACACCAAAAATTACAAAACTTCTGGAGGGGAGTTAACCTGGTCTCTAAAATAATGTTCTTAATCATATACCCTCAGATTAATTTTAATTGAAAGTGACTTGACACCCCATAGACTTAAAATAATAATCATTATAATGAGTTGAAGTTTTAAAAAAAGATAAATGCTTATTATTTTTAAATGTAAGCATAATAAAAGATTAAACACATCACCCACAATCTCATCTCCAGAAATAAGTAGATATATAATTTGGGGGGACAGATAGATTGATGGGTAGACAAATAATTTTATAATGTTCATACCTCTTCAGCCTTCCTGCCCTCTTCTGTCTCTGCCCCAGAGATTAAAAAAATAGATTAGAAGGAAATGGAAGGGCTACCTAAAGGCCTTTCTCAGAACTCTCAACTCATTCCTTGCAATGAAGGAAAAGATTGGTCATCTTATACCTTTTCTCACCTGCTTCTACCAGCTTCACTTCTGATTTTTATTGCCTGTAATAACTTTTACTTTGTGAAGGTATATACATTTACATTCTTTCTACATTAAATGAATTAGATGAATTTTCCTCCCCGGCAATTATTTACTTATTTCCTTATTTACTTATGTATGTTTACATAGTTGCCATGCTTTTCTCTCCCCCACCCCCCCGGCCCACCCCCGCGCTTATGATTAAAGCAGAGAGCTCTGTACAGATCCTCTATTTGCTATAGATTCTTGACACTACTGCTTTTTTCTGAGACCAGTTTGTTTTACTTCTGACCTACAGTGTAAACACCTTTTTGTAGCCTAGTGGCATGGAGTGAGAGGCAAGTGTTTTGCTTTAGGAGCCTATTAAGTGCACTGACTAGGACCCAGTGCACCGGGCCAGAAGTGTCATTACCTCCATGGGCTTGGCCCATCCTCCAGACTCAGCACAGTGCTGTGAAAAATGATGAGCCCCTGGTTCTTCTTGCCTTTGCTCAAGTTCTTCAGTGATATGTTTCATGAATGTCTGCTCTGGAGGGATTTCCCCTCCTTCCTGAGCAGCCTCTGCACTGCTCTCATTGCTCATGATAGTTCTCAAGAGCTGTTAACTCCCTTTTCCCCTTAAATACTGCTTCTGGGAGGTGGGTTTTGTAGACTTATTACTAAATGCCCGTTAAACTAAATAAAATTGCTGATTGACATTTTTCTAAGTAATAATGAAATAAAATTTAAAAGCAGTTACTATTTTAGGCTGTATTTAATAGGTATTAAATGTTGATTGACAACATGAAATACTGGAAAGACAATGGGATTTGAGGGAAGAAGTGTCAAAGACCTGGGTCCTAGTCCTGGCTCTGTAAATAACTACTTTTGTGTTTTAGGGAGAGTCAGTCCTACTGGTAGTTTAGTTAACATTTCTTGATTACTAATGAGGTTGAAAATTTCATATGTTTATTGGCCTTTGTATTTCCTCCTAAATGACTTGCCTATTATTTTCCTTAGTCTGTTTTTCAATTGATTCCTGGTTGTTTTTGTCTTTTGCCTCAAAGAGGCAAAAATATGTGAATAACTTTGTTGTGTAGCAAATTTTTAATCTCAGTTTATTTAACTTTTTTTTGTCAAACAAAAGTTTAAAATTTAATTAGTTGCATTTGTTAGTCTTTTCCTCTAAGGCATCTTGATTTCATGCTTCAAAAGGGCTGCCTCACCTCAAAATAAATATAGCTTCTGTATTTTCTTTCAAATACATATATGCATATTTGAAAAAACATTTAGTTCTTTATCTGGAATTTATTTTTATGGGTGTTATGAAGTAGGGTTCTAAGTTCGTTTTCCAAAGAGATGACCAATTATTCTAATCCCATTTATTGATAAAATACACTTTTTGCACTGATGTGAAGTGCAGTGTTTCTTCAGAAAAAATTGCATACAATTTCATACTGAAGTATAGGTCAAAGTTAAGAATCCTTGTTTTGTGGAGTTCTGCCCCATTATGGTTCAAATTTTAAAAATTACGCTCACTTTCTAGTAACTCTCTTCTTATACACTTTTTCTGTCAGTACCTACCCTCTAACTGATGATGGTAATTCATTAATAACTTAAAAATTGCTCCTTTCTATAAGAATCATGGCCATTTCCCCCCCTTGTTGATACAAGGAGGAATCATAGAGGAAATGACTTTTCTTTTAGTTGCTCTTTCCC